GCGATTATGCATATGTACTTTCGGCACGGGGCCAATTTGACAGGGTAGCAAGAGCAAACTGCTTTCAACGCTTAATTAATGTGGTGATAGTAAATTTGCTTACTTCCACTTAAGCATATGAACCAAACATTTCAGTAATGCAATATTTGTGCGTAGGTAAACCACATTCATTCACAAAAATAAAAGAACAAATTTGGAGTGGGATAAAGTATATTGCGCGTCGAAAATTGTATGCTACTACCGCTAAATGACATCAGAAATTCGGGACAATGTCGGACGCAGAAAATGTTGATCACACATTCAACTGGTAGTGAGAAAGGAAGAAAAAATAAATGAGGGACACACCTTCTCGACTCCCATTACTGTGCGCCTCCTTGCGGTTCTCTTCTGCCTTCCACGAAAAGATAGATTCGAGGTGTCCACAGAAATCCCTGTCGTCGAAACAGCAGTGCATGTAACGGAGGTCGCAGACGCATTTGATGCTGAAATTGTCGGAGCAGACACAGGTAGATTGCGAGATCGAGTGGGTTGCGTATGTCTGCGTCCACTGCTTCGGACAGAAGCGGAGGACGTCGGATGTGCATCCCCTACCAAAGCAGCAGCACGTTGTCGCGTTATAGGACCGATGGGGCTTACACCGTTTTGGTTTCTTCTACTAGTCGAGCTAGAAGCGGACCGGAAGAGAGCGGGGACAAGAGAATGCCGACTGGGTATAAAAGGGCGAGCCATTGCGTTTTTACTGGCTATTCGTAGACTACTTCTGCTCTGAACAGAATGTGTTAGAATAGCTGATGTAACAGAACTTGATGAGGTTTGCGTTTCCACAGAGATTAGAGCTCGAAAATCTGGTGATGACTCATTGGAACTGATTGTAAAGAAGGGCAGTTTCAATGCCCCACAGGCTGTGATCCTTCTGCTTGAATTAAATGTCAGCAACTTCTGTGGAACAAAATGCAGTTAGACATTAGAAGAGCCGTTAACTTTAAAGGCGGCAGATGGGCAAAATTACTTACCTCAATTAGTTCAAGGGCATTAGAATCGTTCGTTTTGACTTTGGATCGCAAAATGCTGTGTTCGCCAACTTTCTTAAAATTTATCCATTTCAGAAATGAATTCTTCGGCCACTCAGATTCTGGAGGAAACCCCAGAGTACTAAAAGGTACTTATGCAAAAGAGAATTTTGCCTTACTTGAAAATTTTTTGCAGAACCACAGTGTCTGTTTTCCCATTGAAGATAGGGGCAAGATTAAATAGTTCAACAATAATGCAGCCAGCAGCCCACACATCACAAGGCGAAAGGTATTCAGATAAAAGAAGGATCTCAGGCGATCGATACCACAAGGTCACCACAACAGGTGTTAAGGGTGACTCCCATCCAAGCACCCGAGACAAACCGAAGTCCGTAATTTTCAAATGTTTCCCATCCTTGTCAATGAGAATGTTGGCCGGCTTTATGTCTCGGTGGATAATTCGATGTGAGTGCAAGAAGTCAATGCCTCTAAGCAACTGAGCAGACATTTCCTAATTATAATATTTTGTAAATGTAACAATGCATTTACTCGAATGGTAGCAATCGGAAGGCCTGTCTCTCGTGGGACGTTAGAGAGGAACTGAGCCAGATCGAAATCGATGAACTCAAAAACGATATAAACGGACAAATCAGGTCCATTCCGACGCAACGATATATCCAACATTCTAAAACCGAATTAATTAAACAAAACATACTGCACAAGATACGGTGATTTGTGTGCCTGGACCTTTCTGAGGACAGCCAGTTCTCGAAGCGTGCTCAATGGTATACCTTGATCGTCTGCAGGAATTACTATCTCTTTGAGGGCCACAACTTGACCATCAGGTGCAGTCCCCTTGAAAACGCGACCGTATGCCCCAGCGCCCAAGAGGTCCGATGGTTGATATTTGTCGTCAGACGGAATTCTCTCATAGGCAGTCTGATTCAATGGTATTAAGGGCCTTAAGCCAGCCATGTCGAAAATCTGAAAAGTCGGTGATCAAGGGAGAAGTGTTAGAAACAGTATAAGATCGCACGATTCCGACTATTCAAATTGTTCACGATATAAGCTCTTACTACTGGGCGTAAAATAGGTTCATTATAAAAGTACTCGTTTCTATAATACTTTGTCAAACCAAAGTTTTCACAAATGGAGAGGGCTTGATAGACTAACTGTGTAGGTTAGGTAGTAGACACAATTGAAGATGAAAAAATGGAAAAATTATTCCCTTGGCAACTGCGAATAGGCTACTAAAA